TATTCGAATAAATGGTGATTTATTCGAATAAAACAGGTTAATTTCAGTCACAGGAAAGATCACGACTTATTCGAATAAACTAAAGATTATTCAAATAGAAAGGCAACTTCTCCACACAAAGGCTGATCTAAAATGAGTTTTAAAGGTAAGATGATAAGGGAATGAACCTTAGAGATGCCATACTCTTTAACACATAATCTAAGACCTAAAACACTACCCAACTAAGGAAACAACCTCTTCGGTCTCGTTCCTTCCACCGATGCTCAAGTCCCTTCTTCACGGACGGATATGAACTTGTTGTAGCTTTGATTCTTAGCCTTGATGCACAAAATGATGATGATATTTTGTCACTCTTTTGTCATTATCAAAACCTAAAAGACAATGGGCAAAGGACATTGCAAAAATATATATGCATGATAGCACATTGTCCAACAGATAATTCCTAATCTAAGCTCTTTTAGGAAAGCTGGAGTTCTCTTTTGAAGAAGGGGGATATTATTAAAAAATTATGTTGGAAAACGTTAAAATTATGAAACCTTTGAGGCTCAGAGCTATGGGTCAATGAGAGCTAAATCAGCTAATATTATACTCTATATCATGCTAGAAAGAGGATCCTCATTGTACCATGAACTCTAGTAGGAGCGGATCCAATGCATTGTTAGGGGGATCCCACCCATGGGCTGGCCAAAAATACATGTATTATACAGTCACAATCAATTATTGTAATTTTCTAAAACACTTTTTCTTTTAAGCGTGCCCCGAGAGATACACAATTTTCGATTCGCCACTGCATACTAGCATGCATTCATAAGTTTGTTGGTTTCTAATGTAGTGCCCTATAAAGCTAAAAAGCAATATGGCAAAGTCATAAACTTGTACTGTACTATTCCCTCCATCCCAACTTAGTCTTCCTTGTTTCCTTTTAATTAATCTCCCTCTTTCCTTTTATGGAAAGCTTTTTGTGACTCACCTTTTTTCTCTCTTCTATGCATTATTTTCAACCACACAATTTCACTTTTCTTAAACAGCATGCAAAGTCAAATTAGGAGCTTTAAATTGAGACGAAGGGAGTACTATAGTACATCTTCCGACGTAGTCATGCAATTCCACTCTCTTTAGGATACCTGTTCACTTTCCATTCCCTATTTATTTTGGGATTGGAAGATTATTTTTAGAAAAATTGGCATGGTAACGTAGATCATTGAGTAAGTAATACTCAAATGGACAGCAGCTCGGTGGTGATGCACAAAAAGTCTCCTCTTAATGAGAGTCCAAGGATATCCACTTAATGAGGGTCCGAGGAAGGGCCCCAGCCCAAGGCTGTGGTGTAGGCAAATCTTACCTCGCATTTTTACAAGTTGTTTTGTTTCATTATATTCCTAGCTCAAAATAATGATTATTGGTTTTTATTACAGGGAAATTCTTCAATCTGAAATTTTAGGTGGGAAAAAAGATTCCCGAGATGAGGTACTGTCTTCTATAATTGAAGAGGACTCTGAATCAGAGTTATTGGTATACTTCCTTTCCTTGCTGGAAGAGCAAAAACAAAATGATGCCTCAAAGTTAGTCGAAGAACTCAAGTGTATAGAAGCAGATATCCAGGAAGTTCTTAAAAGACAGACTAAACAATCCTCAGTATCTTTCTCAAGTCATGCGTCGTTCAGTGTTTCTGGAAGCAGGTACATTCACATGAATGGAATGAAGTCGAAGAGCATCCAGCAACTTGAAAGTGCTTACTTCTCTATGCGATCTAAGATTCAGCCTTCCAGTAATGATGTAAGAATGTGTAGAAACGGACAAATTTTTAACAATCCAGAGAACAACTATATGAAAGAAATTAAAGGAGTAATAAAGTCTGAAAACAGTGATGGTCTAGGAGGTTTCTTTGATGGTCTCTGCAAGTATGCTCGATATAACAAACTCAGAGTTTGTGGACTTATAAGAAATGGAGACTTCAATAGTTCTGCAAATGTAATATGCTCTTTGAGCTTTGATCGAGATGAGGAATATTTAGCTGCGGGTGGTGTGTCAAAGAAAATCAAGATATACGAATACAATTCTCTATTAAATGATTCTGTTGACGTTCATTATCCAGTACTTGAGATGTCGAACAACTCAAAGCTCAGCTGCGTTTGCTGGAACAGCTATATCAGAAACTATCTGGCCACGAGTGACTATGATGGTGTAGTAAAGGTGCGTATGTGTGTGTCAATTGTATCTTGTAAAATATTACTCACTCTGTCCCTAAGTAAACTCCACTTTACTATTCGTAGGGCCAAACTATATCTTCTTTCCTTATTTTTACTTTATTCGTTTGTTACCATAAAATAATCAAGTCACTTGTGTTTTGTAGAGCTTTTGATGCAATTTGTAAATATATACTCCCTCCATCCCAAACCTAATATCCTGTGGTGGATTACAGTATGGTTGGCTGAGTTCATTTTCAAATCAATTTATTTAAATAATGGTAACAAATTCTTAAGTAAGATTTATATATTTGAAAACTACATCAAGTGTTCTACTCCGTACAAAACAAGAGGTGACATGGATTTTTTTAAACAATTGTTTAACTTTTTTTTAACAATTGATTAACAAAAATAAGTAAAGAAAAAAATAAATTGACTTGTAAACAGTGAATGAGACTTTAGTTTTTGAACAGAGGGAGTGAGTTTCTTTTTTAATTTTACACCAATATTTAAATAAGTTGAATCGAAATAACTTTGAAGTCACTCGTAAACCAAAAACTGAAGTTATTTTGTGGCAAAGGGAGTATTATCCTACTTGACCTGAAAACATCTCAATTCTCCCGATGTAGCTTTCCAGATGACTCATTTAGTTTAACTTTCCAAGAACTATATCATCTCTTTCTTTATGAAATATGTTGCATCATTACTCTTTAAAGAATATATCTATATTTTGCATTAGTGGATAAGTATATCCCTCACTACATGTTTGGAGTAAGGATGCTCTTTGTATTTGGGAAGTGAAAATCTTCAACAGCAATATGGAATTACATCTAGAGGTCTTTTCGTTCCAACTTATTTTCAATTCGATTTTGTTGAGTTATTTAAGATAAGCTCAGTCCAGTTCAAGACTTTTTGCTTAAAATTGCAACTAGCTTTTAGTTGAGTTAAATTAATTAAATTTAGGTCATGTTCTGTTCAACTTTTGATCCTACTTATCTAGATTCCAGTTTCAGAATCTCAGCTCCAGTTTCGATATTCCAGACTCCAAAATTTAGTTGAACTTAGAACAGACTTCGGGCACTTGTTTCCATAATCAAGACCCCAAGTTCCAGTCTCCAATCTCTAGTTACCAAATTCCAGTCTAAATGAAAATTTAGTTTAAATTAGAACATACTCTGGACTCCCGTTTTCATAATCAAGACTCCAGGTTTCAGTATGCAATAAACTCCAGACTCGAGTTTAAATTAAGGCATAAGGAGTCCTAAGTCCAGTTCGGTTAAGTTTAATTCAGTGACTTTTAGTCGAGAAGAAAAGACTCTAGATCATTATCCTTGCAAACGAGTCATCAATGTTTGTTTGCTTATTTTATTTTGGCATGTAACAATCTGTCTAGTAGAGAACAACAACAAAGATGTAAGATCCCATAAATGGGGTATGGGGGTAGTGTATGCGAACTTTAACCTTACCTAGAAACGTTGTCCTAGTTTGTCCAGTTTTGATTTTTTGCAGTCAACCATGATCAACCTTTGACTCATAATTAAATAAAAATTATACGGTATACTCTGTATTAATTAGATAAAACAATATTTTGAAAATATTTTACAAGACAAATCTAGTGAAATTATTTTTGTATTGTTAGAGTATATAAAAACCATTCCTGGGCCGCAACCACAAGCTTGAGCTTTTGGTTTAGTTGGTTCCTTGACATGGTATCGGAGCCTTGATGACCAAGTGGTCACGAGTTCGAAACTCAACGCCACCCAGTTGAAAAAAATTAAGGTTTCACGTGCAAGGCTCAAAGAAGTCATGCATGCACATGAGGGGGCGTGTTAGAGTATATAAAAACCACCAGCTTGAGCTTTTGGTTGAGTTGGTTCCTTGACATGTATCAATATGTAATATCAATTTTATTTAATTAATGGTCAAAGTTTGTCAATTTTGACTGCAAAAAATCAAATCCGTACAAACACTACGGGACGGAGGTGGTATGATATTCAAATTTATTTCGTACCTAGACTTGAAATACAACTATGGCTCATTTTGGCTAGTTGGTGGGATTAAATCTGGGAAATAATCATTAAGTGAGTTTTTTTATATAGATTTTTTACTGCTATAAGCAGTCTTGCTGATTTTTGATGTGTTTAGATAGTCACATGATAATGGAAAACTCATACCACAAGTGCTCATTTGAATTTCAGACTGAGCAATTATTTTATTTCTGGTATGATAAGTTGGTAGCAGTTAATAACCAAGGATGTTGTGTAAATTTGTAAGTGTGATTTGCCATAAACTCGTAGATTTTCGTGCAGGTCATTGCCACTCAAATGTACTTACGTACTAGGATATGAAGGCTACAATCTTACAGTTCTTTTATGTAAATACTGATTCTGCAGGATTCTGTGGTATCTTCATTGATTTTATTCTGATTCTACTTTCAGTTATGGGATGCAACATCTGGTCAAGGGTTTTTTCATTTGAGCGAGCACAATGAAAGAGCTTGGTCTGTTGATTTTTCTCGCATGGATCCCACCAAGTTAGCGAGTGGAAGTGATGACCGTCTTGTGAAACTTTGGAGTATTAATGAGGCAAGCTTGTTTTCCCTTCCTTATATGTATATCATTTTTGTTTTACATGTGTCATTGAGTCTGGCCATTGAGAGCTATACCCTTATACAAGCTGGAAAAGAAAAAGAGGGTGTGGAGTACAAGGGAAGGAATGTCTGTCAAATGCAACATAAGGCTTTGAACTCTATTTGAAGCTTAGTTGGTCTTGACTTTGATCATACAATGTTTTATCATTCCGTGAATGATAACAGTGTTAACAACTTATTTCCCCTTACCTATCGTTGTCTCTCTTCTTAATATACCGTTTTCCTCCATGAGCTCAGATTCAGTGTTTGAATGTATTATATATTTATATCCTCAATGGCCAAAAAAGCATAGTTTAGTTGTGTGGCATAGCATGCAATGTGTTTGCTGTTAAAACTGAACCAACCCAAACATTTTCAGCACATTCACTCGAAAGTAGGGTTTGGGAAGGGTGAGATGTACGGAGATTTATCTTTACCTTTATGTGTTGAGAGACTGTTTCCGCAAAGACATCTGACAAACTTATTGCTCTTTTTGGACTTTATTTGTTGGCCGAAATAAATTTAATCTTGTTGAAGTTCGGCACTTCTATTGTGGAAGTACATGCTCTGCAAAAAAATTAGTTTGTTTTGTTGAGACGTGACTTTGTTTTCGGGCGAGAAGTTTTTGAAACATAGTTCTTTGTTAACATGATACTACATTGCCACATTGGTATTGGGTAGAATAAAAACTATTTGAAGTAAAAAGATATGTTCCCAACTTTTGCTTGTTTCTATGCCATTTTCGTCCGGTCTCAATTTTGCAGAATTTCTGTGTTAGTGGGATGTTTAAACTGGATTCTGTATTGGTTGCTGCAGAAAAACAGTATAGGCACTATAAAAAACAATGCAAATGTCTGCTCTGTCCAGTTCTCACCTAGCTCCAGTCATTTGCTGGCTTATAGCTCTGCTGACTATAGGATCTATTGCTACGACCTTCGAAATGTTTCAATTCCCTGGCGTATATTGGTTGGCCATGAGAAAGCTGTTAGCTATGTGAAATTCTTGGATGCCGAAACTCTAGTTTCTGCATCTACGGATAACACACTCAAGATCTGGGATCTCAAAAAAACAAGCGCAGACTCCTTGTCAACCAGTGCTTGTATCTTAACCCTGAGAGGACATACCAATGAAAAGGTTAGTTGCTCTATGTGCTTTTTCTTCACATCCCATGAAACAATTTGAAACTTTTGCTTTATGTACACCATTAAATGGATGTAAATAATCAGTAATTAAGTGTGTGATTTGTTTCCTGTCGTCTTTCAGAACTTTGTGGGCTTATCTGTCGCTGATGGATATATTTCTTGTGGCTCTGAGACTAATGAGGTAGGAGTTGTTTTTTGTTTATATCTTCACTTTCTATTGTCTTCAACTCTTCATTATATATGCACATGCTAATTCACCAAGAATACTCACACCTCTTTGATGACCTTGTTTTAGTCAATGTTTCGGCCTTTTTGCGTTTGGGGGGGGTGATCCAAATGTTAGCTTCTGGATCTCTTTTCATCCTAAAGCACATGTGTTGTAATTGATTTTCTCAGGTATTTACGTATTACAAGTCGCACCCGATGCCAATAACTTCATGCAAGTTTGGGTCGATAGATCCGATCTCTGGCAAAGAAACTGACGATGACAGAGGGCAGTTTGTTTCAAGCGTCTGCTGGAGGCGTAAATCGAACGTGGTTGTTGCCGCCAATTCCACCGGCTGTATAAAACTGCTGGAGATGGTGTAGCAGTGAATGGAGAAGAAGATGAACAGTGAGTGGAGTTGGAAAGGGACAGCCATTTTGTGATGATGTGCTGTTTTTGTGTGGCGTGCAGGATTTGTGTCTGTGGTTGGCACATCTTCATCTTGGGGCACACACCGTACAAGTGCACAGAATCTCTTAAATACTGGTGTAGAGTTTGTAAAAAAAATGTTGTATCAGTTTGGTTGCCTGCTTTTAAATTATTTTTTTTTAAATTAAAAAAAAACTTGTTTCTAGAGATTTTGATGTGTATAAGAAGAAGAAATTGGTGTCCATTGAATGATAAATGCACTGCAACTGCTATCTGCCATTTCGGTGAAAATGGAAATTAATAGGTAGTACGGAGTAAGATTTTTAAAAAACAAAAATTTATTCCGTCAATGATATTAAAACACTTGCGGAGTATTGATGACTTTGGGGAATGATGATGTACCTCACAATAGAGCACTGGAAATGGTCTTGGGGCACGGGGCTTCAAACTGGGGCTTCAAAAATTAAACTCTCTCTCTTGCATTAGCTTTAACTTACATCACCAATTCACTGGAAATAAGTTTGAAACTTAGGACTTCAAACTTTCATTTTTTACATTTTAAATACACATTTTATAAAATTAAATTAATTCACGTTGTCCTTTATGATCATATTATGAAGAATAATGTTAGAAAGAATTATAGAGAGAGATAGAGAGAGATGTGAGGGAGAGAGAGAGAGAGAAAGAGATGGTTTGAATATTTAGGAAGATTTTTTTTGGTTTAACGGCTATTTTAGCGGTTGTGTGGGGGGGGAGGAGGGGTTGCGCCAACAGGAAGAAGCAACGGCCGGATGCAGCGTTGAATTTTTGACGCAAGGGCCATAACGCCCGTGTAATGGCGCCATGGGAGCAGTGTTTAACGCCCAACCGGCGTCAAAAGCCGGTTGACACCCCCAACGCTCTCAATTATATTCTCTTTTTCAAGAAAAAGTGTAAAATTTATTGTGACACAATCTTTAAAAAGTGAAATTTTTTTAAAGATCGAGAGAATATACTCCTGTCTCGATTTAATCTTCAAATTTGTTCTTCTTGGTGAAAGTTTGTAAAGTTTTACTCTTCTATATAGAAAAAATACATTATTTTCAATATAAATGTAATATTAATAGCTTTCTTTTGAAAAATATAGTTGAAATATTGAAATTCAAAAGTGGTTGTTATCCAGTGGTCCGTCCAAGAATTGCTAAGACCAAGGGCGAGACCAGCAGGGGGTGGGGGTTCCGGCGCTGCCCCTATACTTTTTTTTTTTACAAAATAGCAAAATGATTGCAAAAAGTAATTTTGACTCAATGAAGCCTTCAAATAATTATTGAAGAAATTTTGAAACTACTTCTTACAGTATAATTTTAGTTTCTCTTGATAGTTTTTATTTTTAAATTATATCCAAGTTATTTTTGACGACAATGTTTAGTTGACACTCCACTGTCACTGTCTTTTTGAAACACTTCCGATGTTTCATTCACAAAATTGATAATTCCTACCTTTCTAACTTTCCCCACTCATAGTCTCACATTTGAAGGGATGAAGGAGTGGGGTTTAGAGAGATATTTCAGGAATAAGAATCATCAATTTTGTAAACAGAATACTAAATGTGTTTCAAATGGACGAGTGTCATCTGTCGACACTAATGCCAACGGAACCTTACCATATTTTAAATGATTAACTTTTAACTCTCTTGTTTTAATGGCAGATACTTGATTTTCTACTTAAAATTTATTTTATCGGGGACATTTCACTTTTTCGATTGGGGCATATATTATTTATTTTAAAAAAAATTGGTGTACTATTAAGAAAAATTTTTAAATTCATTGGAGAAAATTGCTAAGATAAAAATTTTAACAACGGATTGTGTCGCCCATTAGAGAGGAGGATTGGGATGGGATGCACGAGGCAGGCTATAAGAAATCAAAATCGAGAAGGGCAATGCTACGTTCACAAACAGAATGATTACAAACTTCACAAACTTACTATTTATGGTTTAAATTCTCATTTTAAAATTATTTTAGACTATTTAATTTCATTTATTAAAGTTCACAAATGGTAAATTTGTAAAGTTTGTAAAGTTTGAATTTGTGAACCAAGCATTTCCCAATCGGGAAATATTTTTAAGAGGTTAAGAGAATAAAATTAAATGCAAAATTTCAAAATCGTGGATCCGACCCGAACAAAACCCCACAATCGCGAAAGAACTCGTCCGCCTGCCACGTGGATGACCCGAACCCGAGCTTGTGACTTGACCCGACGAACATGTCAGGACATTCTTCTTCAAAGATTTTGTCTGACCAACCCGTCACATCAAACAGGTCGGGTATGGGCACCGGGTTCTCCGACCCGAACGAGTCGTCCTCCGGGATAATCTCCGATGTTTCGCCGGGGAAAGCGCGGCTCAGTTTGACGGCGTCTGCTTCGCGGAGGAGGAACGAATCGGCGCCTTCGTCGAAGAACAAGACCGATTTGGGAGAGCATCGCTGGTTGTTGTGCGACTCCTCGCCGGTGTTATAGCCGGAATCCGGCGGAGAGGTGAAATTGGTCGCCGCGTTGGGTCCACGCAGCTGAATGGCGGCGTAGTCGTAAACCACCGCGGCTTCTTCGGCGGTGTTGAACGTCCCCAACCATACCCGTCGACGGCTCAGCGGATCTCTGATCTCTGCCGCCCATTTCCCCCACGGCCGCTGCCGCACGCCTCTGAACTTCCTCCCATTTTCAGCCTTCGGCGGCGGCGGCGGCGCCTTTCCCTTCCTCCGCCGCTTCGCCACCGCGTTCCCGAAAACCCTGTTACCGTCATCAAGTCCACACGCATCAAACGTGACCTCAGTCACGTACTTCTTCACTCTTTGCCGGCCAGCCCCTTCGTCGCCGGAGGAATCGGTGGCGTCCCCGTCAGTGACCGATATCCTCAAAACTCTGGGCAAACCCGCCGCCGGCCTATGGCCGGAAAACCTCCCGCCCGGGGAAGGCCTGCCCATCTTCTTCGTCAGGCGTGTGTATTCACTGCACTTGACTGGAGTGGACACCATAGCAGCTCTGTTTTCCCTGCACAGATCCGGTGGTAAGATCTTAAACCATTGAATCGAAAAGGGGAGAAATTAAAGGCTAAAGATTCGGAGAGGAGATTAAAGAGGCGTGCCCACGCAGGATATGGTTTCAAGAATTAAACTTTGGGAGAACGAGATAAAGAAAAAAAAGCGGAGAAAGGGAATCAGTTTGTTCCCGGAGTGGTGGATAAAAAGTAGACTGGAAAAGAAATTCAAATGGGCTTTTCTTTTTATCTTTAGCCGAGAATGATATTATCTCATTCGAAAAAAATGGCGACCGAAATGTGGAGAAGAAGCGTGAAGTGAGTAAAAGAGAAGAAAGGATGGCGAGAGTGTTTTCTTTACTAGCGGTGGTGCATAACCCCCCAACGAAATTATTTAGTCATAATTTCAATTTAATAAAAAAGTAAACTCCATAAAAGGTCTCCAATTATTAGTCGTTTTACATATTTAGTCTCTACATATCAAATATTATTAATTTAGTCCCCAATTATTATATTCATTTCCACGAATAGTCTTTTGTTAACATTTTCGTTAAGAATGTGGATAAAATTATAAATTCACACTCCTTTATCTCTTCAATTAAGCTTCCTCCCTCCCCTCGCACTCCTTTCCCAAACCCGACGTTGAGTTTGAAGTATTGAACCCAAAATCGAAATCATCACTCTTCTCTCGATTGTTTGTCTAATTGGTGAAACCCAAATTCGAAACCAGAAACTTTGATAGATGAGTTTTAATATTTATTTTCATTGCAATTGCTTGAGACTAGCTAACTGATAAAACTCATTCATAAAGATTATTGGTTTTGATTTTAGGTTTCACCTGGAAGACTAATAATTGAAAGAAGAATGATCATTTTAGTTTTGGGTTTAGAGCTTCAAACCCAGCGACGAGTTTGGGAAAGAGTGCGATGGGAGGGAAGAAGATTAATTGAAGAGAGAAATGAGCGTGAATTTACAATTTTATCCATATTCTTAACGGAAATGTTAACAAAGGACCATTCGTGGAAATGAATATAATAATTGGGGACTAAATTAGTAATATTTGATATGTGGGGACTAAATATGTAAAACGACTTATAACTGGGGACCTTTTATGAAATTTATCTTAATAAAATTAGGTTTGTTTTAGAATATATGGTTTTTAAATATCAAATTTTTATAATAGATAATTATTTTAAACTATATTTAATTTGTAGTTAAAGTGTGCCACAGTTTAACGAAAAAAAATTAAATTGTGGCAATCTTTTAACAGTGGAAGGAGTGCAAAGTTTGTGGAGTGAGGGGTTTTAGGCCTTGTTTGGATGTTGGTTTTTGGCAGTTCATGTCCGCTGTTGTGAATGACTATCTAGTTTAGTTGGTTTGACCGGCAATATGAATTGGCTAATCGTTAAAAGTGTTTGGTAAAATTAGCTGTTTTTCATATATATATATATATATATATATATATCAAAATGTCTTGCGTTTAATGAGAACGCGCTTTTCCAAAAAAAAGAAGAGAGTAACGAAGTGTAAACATTGCTTCATGTTTAAATTTTTTTTTAAAAAAAGGATGAGCGAAACGGTGCCGGATGAGAATGAACAAAAACTCTCCAAAAACTTATATTCCTTCGTCGTGCCAACTCTGCTTTTTCGATCTCTATGCTCTCCTCCACATCTTCGACTTCTAGACAAGTTGATTGTAACTTGCTCCAACCGATGTTGCCGATCTCAAAAATCTTTGAATCTCTAAAACGAGGACGAAGAATGCATTTGTGATGTACTCCAACAACAAAAGTGATGAGTATTATGTAGAGAACAAAACCGCATCAAAACTAGACATTCAAACAACACTTGGTTTAGACACAAAAAAAATGTAGCATATTAACCTTTTACTATTTTTATTACTAGAAAAAAATGATAACAACAACAACAATAATAATCGTAATAATAATAATAATAATAATAATGATAATAATAATAATAATAATAATAATAACAACAATTGTAGTAATAACAACAACAACAATAATAACAACAACAAAATAATAATAAATCATACAAACACCTAAAATGAGCAGGTAGCTTATAAACATAATTTTTGGCTTTGAAACTATTTTGATGCTAACTCTTAACATTTCATTTTAGAAGTTTTTTTAATAAAATAGTTTGGTCCAAATAAAATAATAATATTTATTTATTTAAAACACTTTTTAACTTTCAGACCAATTTTTTAGGTGTTACATTTTTTTTCTTTTTCTAAATCGTGCCATCTATGTTTAGCAGAGAAATTAAAGATACTACTTATAATTATTATGGAATATAACATTTTTTACCTTTTAAAATGACTCCCAATAAAATTGTGACATTTAGATATATTCTATTCAACTTAGGAGGTGTTTCTCTATTCTAATGTTTATTGACTTATTACTTATAAACGAATTTTAACTTATAAGATGCTTATAAATTTAAAAAAAATCGTGTAGGTAAAATAACTCAAATGATATATGTGTCATTTAGGGATATTAATAATAGGTGAAAGATAGTTTTTTAAGTAATCTGGTCAAAACGGGTAAATGAAAACCGACTCAAAGCACAGAGAAATGCGTCATCTGCTGACTTATAAGTTAAAAAGCTTATAAGCAGTTTTGACCAGTTTATAAACACAGATAAACACACTTTTTTTTAGTTAATTACCTATTCTTATTGAAACTAAATCATATCAAAGTTAATCAAACAAGATTCAATCAGACTAGATCAAATTCAATCAGGTCCAAATGAATAAAATCTGATCTAATCGGACTATATTAGATCAGAATCAATCAGATAAGTTTTTTTAGATTAAAATAGATAAATATTGAAAAATAATGCTAATATTTTTCTATAACCCCACAATAATTATACTAAGATTGGTTTATGTTACATCACTTAATGTTGAATAATTTACTATTAATTACTATTATAATGTTATATAAAATTAAATAATAATAAGTTATACATATTATTATTATTATTATTTAACTACTTATAGTACTCTATCTTTTACTTAATTATTGTCGTCTTTTAAAAAATGTTAAATTTTACATCTGGTTTAAAATAATTGTATTCATAAAAAAAGTATGTAAATACATAGTACAATTTATACAATTAAAAGCTAATTCAAAACTTTTACATAATAAGTAGTGTCATATCTATTTTTTATTATCAAATAAATAATGAAAGTATACATGCTAAAATTTTATCCCGGTATGTAGTGGTATACATGAGAGCATTTATTGATATGACAAATTCTCATTTGATCATCGGCTCCTTACTCATTTTAAAGAGTTGGGCTCTTTAAAAGAGGAAAGAGCACACATGAAAAGTGTGAAAAGTTTCATACTTCAATTGTGGATCTTATGATTACATAATCACAACTCTGTGAATATATTATGTTAGCATAATTTCTAACATGAGTATTACCACATCTACACTTGTAACACAATTAGCAAATAATGATGGTGATAATAATAAAGTTACTACAATATTTTTAACTTTAAATTGAATTAGATAAGATATATTAAGGTCATGTTCTTTTAAGTCAGAAAAAATAATTTCTAACTTTTTTCAACTTCCAGTTTCTTTCAACTCTTTCAGTTCTTTTCATTTGTTTTCAATTTTTTCTAACAATAACTTAAAAATGTATTTATATATGATGAATATACAATATAATTTTATATCCAAATTTATAATATACCACCTCAAACACAAACAATGATGAATTCTTTTTTGATATCTAAAATTAGAATTTTATTACATACTCCGTATTTTTTTAGATGATCATTGAAATCAATAACTTTTTTAACATTTTAAATCTTCTAACATTTTCTAATTCGTTCTAATTTTCAATACTAAAATTCCAATTTAAAAGAATAAGATTTAAAATTAGATTTGATCCAATTAAATTAGATCAGATATAGCCAAATCTTCTAACATTTTCTAATTCGTTCTAATTTCCAATACTAAAATTCCAATTTAAAAGAATAAGATTTAAAATCAGATTTGATCCAATTAAATTAGATCAGATATAGCCAAATCAGAACTAATCAAATTAGATGAGATTAAATTCAACCTCATCAAGTCAAACTAATCTTGAAAAAATGAGATGGGATTCAATGAACCTTGGAACGGAAAGAAAGCTTTATTTGTTCATTCATAGACAGTGGATAGCTTCTTTACAGAAATCCCTCTTTCTACTTAACCCTTGGGTTAACTCTCATTCTCCTCAAACCCTACCATCGAACATGGCCGGAGATTCGGAGCACATAACCGGAGCTGCCCCCGTCAGCGATGAGGTCAAGTTCGGGTTCCAGAGGTCGGAAATGTACAAGAGCAACCTTGCCGGCACTGTCGAGCCTCCCTACGATCGCCACCTGTTCCTCGCCTACCAGTCGCACGAAACCTGGCCATCTCGCGTTGAGGACTCGGAGTCGGATCTGCTTCCGAAGCTGCTTTCTTCTGCCATCAAAGCTCGTAGGGACGATATCAAATACAAGGTCAGTGTCAGTTCAAAGTTTTAGCAATAGCTCTTGTTTATAACTGTTGAATTGTTAATGCATTTGATGATCTAGTGATGTCACTGGTTTTAAATGCTGGATAAAGTGAAATTTCATGTATGTTTTGCCTCTATGATTTTATGTGCAGACTCGGTTGACAATATGTGAAGTTGGTGATGGAATGGACATTTCAGAGGGTGACGTTCTGATTTTCCCTGAAATGGTTAAGTACAGGTAATGATCTTTGTACCATTGATCTTTATTTGCAGTTGTAATTCATAAATTTTATTCAGTAGCAACTGCTGTTTATTTGAACATTCCTTCTGGAATCTGGAGGAGGATTTGCAAAATCAATTTTCTGTGGGAGGGAGCTTCTTACATTATTAGCTAAGGTCTTGCTTTGAATAAACTTCTCACTTCGCCATAAACAGATGATGTTTGGATTTTTGAAGTTGGCTACATGTCTTTATTGTTTTCATTTTTTCTTATAGGGGGTTGAAGGAATCTGAAGTGGATGGTTTTGTTGAGGATGTGCTTGTGATGGGCAAGCCATGGGCTTCCGGACTGCAAGAGTCACTGCATGGTGCATATGTATTTGTCTGTGCCCATAGCAAACGAGATATGAGGTGTGGTGTTTGTGGACCAGTTCTAATTGAGAAATTTAAGGAAGAGATTGAGGTAAAGGGATTGAACGAACAAGTTTCTGTAGCTGCTTGTTCACATATTGGAGGCCACAAGTATGCTGGTAATGTGATCATCTTCAGCGAAGTTGAAGGAAAAGTTGCTGGCCATTGGTATGATCTGGATCTATGTTTGTGATATTTATAATGCTCTTATAGGTTGATTTGTTATCCATCAATTTATTAAAAAAGTGCAATTTTTGCTATATTTTATTTATGCAGACATAATCCGAATCTCATTCTTAATTGTCATAATCTATTCTCTAATAATTTAGGTATGGTTATGTTACCCCAAATGATGTGTGTGCCTTGCTTGATCAGCATATTGGAGAAGGAATAATCATTGAACCGCTTTGGAGGTGCGAACCTACAAACTATTTCTTTATTAATGGCCTCCTTACAGGTGTAAAATGCATCCCCTGGTAGTCATGTGATTATGTGATTTGATGATTCTGTTTTGATTGTTGCCAATTATTCTTGGGTTAAATACTCAACAGGTCCATCCTATTTTGATTAATCAAGACACAAATTTGTAGGTTTAGCTGTTTATGTCTGAAAGATACTTATTTATCCAGCTTCTTTTGTAAATACTTGTCATTTTTTTTCCAATTTTCTTTCTTTGGGTTGGGGCATTGGGGTAATGTTGTTGTTGTTGGCTTGGGAATTGGGGGAGCTGGTTTATAAGTATTTTGAGTGCTTTCAATGTGTCTTCATTTTATAGAGCTCCGAACACCTCTCTTGGTTAATATCTCAGATTATGTATGGATGGTAGGATAATCTGGGTAATCTAGCAATGGTTATTTAGTGGGATTCAGCTATTAAGTAGTACAACATCTTTTTTTGTAACAAAGTAGTATTACATCTTAAAATCATCCATATACTGTACATGGTGTAATGGTGATGTAAATATATTCACTTGGGATTAGTTGTTTGCTCTATATACAGTTGTAATTTCTCTCAACTGAGTGATAGAAACACCGGAATATATCAATGTTGTGTACTATTTTGCATGGTATCAGAGCCGAACACTTAAGGAGTGAATGGACCCCCCCCCCCCCCCGTGTATAGTTCTTTGGTGGTGGTCCATTGGATCTGAAATCACCACATGATCCTCATCCTCTTCTTGATTCACTGCTTGACACCTCATCACCAAAGCTCCAGTTACAAGCCTCCATACTCGGACTAACTAAATGAATATCCCTGTTTGTTTAGATCAACACAAATCCGTTCATCTGCTGATGACAGTGCCCCCATAGGGCGTTCCCATCCCCAGACCCCAATCAAGCATGTTCCATGTTTTCCAGCGTCATCCAATCTCTCACGTGCCACACATGCCACCATTGATCTACATGGGTCGGCATTGGCTTTCACACGTTGTCTTGTGTTTTGTGCTCTGGACATATTTGTTTCTGGTTCATTTTGTTTCTGCTCATCAACTTAAATGGCCTACAGTTTCTCCAACTGTACAACCATTCCTACCATCACTACAAAATACTTGGTTCGGAGCTCTAACTACTATTTATGAGATGTGGTTTAAGGGTGATGCTGTCAAGGTTCTTTTACTCATTTAATGAAAACTGTTGCCACTTCCACATAAGAGAAAATAGAGTGGGACACATCATAGTTGTGAAAGGCGTTCGCCTCTCTCGCCTGAGGAGGCGAGCATGTAGCGCCTCTCGGAAAGGAGGCGAGGCAAGATATGCTGGCCCAGCTCTGGCGAGCACCTCTGTTGCCTTGATTTGATGCAAGGCAATGTACAAACAGGTGACACAAAAATACTTTTTCATGGCTTGGCCAAGAACAAAAAAGAGAAAACGCTGATGTTTCTGAGTAATTTAAATGACTTGAAAACCCTAGCCTTCACACCTTGAACACCGCATCACATGAAGCCTCATTAGAGATCAAGGTCTCATCTCCTTCGATCCTAGCAAATGACTCATCTCCATCAAAGCTCTCCTTCGTTGAATAATTTGCTGATAGCCTTTCCCATATCCTTTAGTTTCAAACCACCCGCCAGTGAGGTATTCCATATCCCTGCAAATGACTCATCTCTTGTATTATACTCCGTATGTTTTTTTTTATTTACAAATGCTAGTAACTTTACTCTTTATTTGTTTTATCTTCTCTAAGAATAGAATACTCCCTCCGTCCAAGTTGAAACTTCTCGTTTTAACTTGGCACAAATTTTAATGTAAAGTAAAAATTACTCTGACTTTCCAATTTTGCCCTCTATTTTCCCCTTAGCTCCTGCCGACCTGCCATCCTATTACCCACATAATTCTTCTTCTTCAACTTTAACCCCAANCCGCCTTCTATTAACAAGTCTCACTACTTCATCTTCAACATCAAACACTACTCATGCTCTCCGTCCTCAAACCCAACCCCAAACCCAAACATCTTCTTCAACCTCAAACCCACCTACCATACCCCTCCTTACACCCAATGTAACACAATCAAAAGTAAATCTCATCAAACTTAGGAACGTCAAATTTAGGATTACGCCTCAAAGAAATCGTTGAAAAGATGAGGATAGATAAAAAGGGGTGAAGAAATTAAAAAACTGATCTAGAAGCTCTGTTGCAAATCGGAAAGCTCTGCAGCAGATCTGAAAGCTCCACCGCGCTGCTAAGATTTGAAAGGCTTTTCAGATCTGAGAGGTTCATCCCTCCTTTCTCCACTACCCTTCACACCACCTTGGGGGGTTATCGAAAGAAGAAAAGAAGAAGCGAAAGGAGATGGGGGCAGTGGCAGGAGTATGACGTAGAAAAAAGAGGAAGAAGAAGAAGAGAGAGAAGGAGAGATGGGGGAGTACAAAAGTATGGAGTAATGATATTGAGAATTGGGGGAGAGAAAAAAGTGAGGGTAAAAGAGTAACTTTTGATATATTTTCTTTCCATTTTAGGAAACGGGAAGAATCAAATGGGACGGCCCAAAAAGGAAAGTGAGAAGAAAGATATGGGACGGAGGGAGTACCATGTTTTTACTGTTTTTTTTTTTAGTTTTTTTATCTACTTTCGAAGCAGATTTTTGTCCTCTTTCTAAGATGACTCTAAATAAAACTGATTTATTATTGCCTAATTTTTATCTTTTACTTGGGGACCTACATGGATGCCAAAATGAGCTAAAATCCCAAGTTTTTAAAATTCATTTTATTTAAAAGTTAGTATAGAAATAAAAATAAAAATTACATATAAAAACTACGTCAAAAGTTTTACAAAACAGAGGTGACAACAATATTTAATTTTATTAAGTAATCAACAAAAAATGCAAATAACTATGAGGCTTTGTAACTCAGATGAAAGTTGTCTCGCGTGTAGATTGTGTCTTCTTTATAGAGTGTGATTTGATAAAATCTCCACATGCATGGTTTGGAGATTGGAAGGTTCAGTAGTATAGTTTCTGCATCAGGCATGATTCAGATTTTTGCTGATGATGACCCAACATTCTGCAAACAAGTAATGCATCTATTTGGTAGTTTTTGTTGATGATATTGCTATTACAGGTAATGCCACAACATGTATCACTCAACAACAATAATCCATTAGAATCCCACAAATGAGTAATGGGGAAGGTGAGCATACACAAACCTTACCCCTTGTTTCCAAATGGCCCCCGGTTCAAATAACTGAAAACACAAACTCGTAAAGTCCGAAAAATACAGAGATAAACATAAATAAGAGAGGATACTGAAGGCCACAACAGGGACACCCACACAACCTTGGGAAGACCTAAATGCCTAGCTAAGCAGTAAAGCAGTTCAAACAAAGTCTACCCTATAACTCTAATCGTCAGTCTACAATGGTTCCTATCTTCAGTCATGTCCTCAGTGAGCTGTATCATCTCAGTCTGCTTCTCCTTAGGTCTTCCACTACCCCTTCATAGAGGAAAAATTGTTGAGCACATTCCCCACTGGGAAGCTGCATTAATTTTTAGGAATGAAATATTAATGCTGCACAATTGAGCTATGGCATTGTCCTCACTGAAAGAGAAATTGCTTCAGATATTCTCAAAGAAAATGATGCTGAAGTGTGAACTGACATGCTCCCATGGATTTAAATGTCATATTAATACCAGAACACGGGGAACCAACTTTAGACAAAGTAATATAAAGAAGACATGTTTGCTATATGTAATTGTAATTCATTTCAATTAAGTGAGAAATATTACAATATTTTGTCCCCTTTTAGTTATGGCCTATATGCACCGACTTAAGGCGGAGTGTAGAATTTAGCACTTAAGTAGGTCTAGAATCTAGCTGTTGAGGAGTATTACATCATCCCAATGATGCATTATCATGATGTAAGTATCTTATGATTGGTTGTTTTGCTTTATGTAGTTGTAATTAATTTCAATCAAGTGAGAAATATAACAATATTTCCCCTTTCACTTAGGTTGCAACCTTGCTTTAAAGAATATATTTACATTTGGAAACGGTGATATGCTTAGTTGAATTTTCTTTTAAAAAGAGTAAATCTGCTGGGAATATGAAAAGGCCTTCACTTGATTCTCATTGTACTCTGTCGCCTTTGTGCATATACATGGAGATTAGATTCTTATCGTGCTTATCCTTTGTGCAATCATTGTGTTATTTAGGAGTAATACATGTAGACTTGATCCTCTGGGTGCGCTTGCTCTGTCCTTAGTTTGCTCTTTTCCCATACTTTGCTCTTATTTTATTCATGCTTTTGTGTCTCCTTTGTTGGTTAACTTTGTCTGTGCTTGATCTGGGAGTCTTTTGGAAACAACCTCTCTACTTCCAAGTAGGGGACTAGGGGTAAGGTAGGTCTGTTACCACACCCTCTCTAGACCCTACTTTTGTGGGATTTTATTGGGTTTGTTGCTGTGACTTCATTGTCATTGTGCTTATACATAGTGCAAACGCATTATATGATTCAAGAGTCCTTACTTTCCCATGTTCATGGCAGGGGCCAAATGGGAGCACATGCTCAGAACGGCGACAAGACAGATGAGCAGACAGTTCCGAGTGAAAGTAATCTGAACAACACAGCAAACAACCCCCAAGAAATTCAAAGTGAAGAGAGCAACGAGAGCTTCATGACCTGTTGCCAAGGCGCTAATGGAATATCTTGTTGCAGAGACCCGCGTGTTGAGGAAACAGGGGAAAAGAAGGGGCAGATAACTGAGATAAGCGTCCTAAACTTGTTAGGGAGATGGGATCGGCAGGACACTCTTAAAGCTGTTGGGATCATCAGTTCAGTGGCAGTCGTTGCATTGGCGTATGGCTTTTACAAAAGGTCCAGGTGATCGAATACTTGATATGTTTTCAGTCCAATGTTTTTTGTTTTGGGTATATGCAAAGTTGCATAATATACGGACTCAGTGAATGATCTTTGAGTGAAAAAGATATAGAAAAATAGAGACGAAGCTGGTAAGGCAACGCCATTTTAACTGCGTTGCATTGGTAAAAGGATGCTAAATACATGGCAATGACTTATTTCTACAGAGCTGATGCTCTCGCGTGTGTTTAGCTTTTATTTGCAAAAATTTACCCTATCTAGGTATTTTTTATTTGACATCTGAACAAAAGATACTGGATTTTGGACTAAGTTTTTGTAAATTGAACCTGAAAATGACTGAACCCGAAACATGGATTGAGGAAAGGTTCTTTCATAATCCAGCATTTTAATATGGAATTTAATGAACATTTCTTTTCTAAATATTTTTAATGTTGTGTTTTTTATCTTGTCTGTTTTAGAAAACATTATTTATTAAAGGACTTATTTTATTTATAAAAGAAAATGTGAAGTACTCCGTATTATAGGGAGCAATACTCTTTGCGATAGAGGAGACGGAGAGAAGATGGAGAAGTATGTTAATCCTCTGTTCAACCTCACATACAATCTTTCGGCGTTGCCATTGACAGCCCGGCCGTTGTCCCCTGTACGAACAAAAGTATGTAGTTGCCAGACACGCTCCGCGAGGATGTCTGGCACATAAGGAGAATCACGGGATCTGCCGGAGGAAAACGGCCGGAGCGGCACGGACGAAGACCTCGATGAATTTAAGGGCAGCAAGAAAATATGAAGGGTGTGAAATTAAAACTTCAAAGAGTAAAAACCATACTTATGAGTCCCTCGTTTTGAGTTTTTTTTAAAGGGAGGTTAACTAGATTTGTCCAGAAATGCAATATGTATAATTGCATATATTTAACTGTTACTCCCTCTGTCCTTAAATATTTGCCACATTTGTATTTCCGAGGCAAAATATCAAGTTTTTTCAATTCATTTTATTTACATATTGGTATAGAAATAAAAAATAAAATTTACATATAAAAAAACTACATAAAAAGTTCTTCGAAATAAGAGGTGTCAAGAATATTTTATTTTATCAAATAACCAATAAAACATAGAAATAAACAAAAATTTCTGCGACTGCTAAAAAAGCAAATGTTGTGAACATTTTGGGACGGAGGGAGTATAAAAATAAATATTTATAATTGGCAGGGATCCTTTGACCTTGAAACCCAAGGTTATTTTATGACTAGGGCACATACGGTGCTCCGTTGATAAAATTGATGATTTCTATCTCCCTTAATCCCCCTGCCTCCCATCGCAGCAGCCCCCACCTCATTTCGTCAATCCGCTATAGAAAATAGTGTAGCCAATTGGTGCAATAGGGTGAGGTGGGGGTATGAACTATCACTTTTACCACATTGTAGGCGTCTCATGTCATAATATGATCTTGGAATTCAAGGTCAAAAGAATATTTGGGATTTAGAGCACTAGAAATACGTTTGAAGCTCCGGGGCTTCAAATTAGGGCTTCAAACTTTTCCCTCTGCCACGTCAGCTTTAACTTACACCAAAAACTCACTGGAAATGGGTTTGAAGCCCCGGGGCTTCAAACTGGGGCTTCAAACCTTCATTTTTTACATTTTTAAATATACATCTTCTAAAATTAAATTAATAAAATGTAATTAATTTATTATTTAATTATATTGAAACACGAATAATAAAAAAATACATTCATTAAATTTAAAAAATTACATTCGTTAAATAAGCGACAATAATAGAAAAAAAGATACATTAATAAAAAACTAAGGTAAATTATATTTTGCCTTGATCTCTCTTATTCTTTGCTCGTAGATCATTCGTCTGAAACCCGACAACGTAGAAAGGTCGGTTTCCATGACTTTGATCTCGTCCTTCTGCTCATTTAGCTTCAACTCCTTCTCCTTTAGCTTCAACCTCTCTTCTTCTCGGAGATTGAACACCCGAAGTTGTTCAATCATTGCCCAGCCGATTTCGTCGCGAGAAGAAACGGAAACAGAGCCGGACCCTCCCGAACCCGAGGCAATGGATTTTGCCTTCTTTCTTCCGATCGGCCGTGGAATGGGGTCCTCGTCATCGGAATCCACAACGTTGAAGGGAGGGATTTGATCGGACGAACCGATAGTCTCGTCGACCTCAACCTCGGCGTCGACGGAGGATCTTTTCCAGAACAATCTGCCGTCGGGATTGTTGAGTTGTTGCCACTTCGGGGAACGGCTCAAAATCCTCCAAAGATCGATGGGCACCTTGCCTTGGTGCCCGTCATCTTGATACCGGGTCGTGGCAAGCCGGAGAACATCGGCGTCGTTCGTCCCGCTCCTTCGGGACCGGGAGCATTCCTCGTAAACTCCGATAAACTTTCGAATTTTACGGTTGATGTGGCTCCATTCGGAAGTGAGTTGGTCACGGGTACGGTAGGAGCTGTCCTTGTTCATCGCCGTGAAGAACTTCTCCTCGATACGATCCCACATCGCATCCTTCGTTTGCTCCGAACCTTTAAAAAAGTATAATACAATTTTTTATATGACACGATTAAATATAATTTTATATAAATAAAAACATAAATATATTAGAAAAAATATAATTTTTACCAATGATAGGATGCTCGGAGACGTCAACCCAAGCCGACGCCAATAAGCACTCCTCCTCCGGCGTCCACTTTTGGATTGACCGTGCCGCCTCGGTCATCGTGCCTTTTGCTTTGTGGCTTTTCCGGCGTGTCTTTTTTTCGACCCGGTCGGTTGCGGTTGAGTCTCCGGAACCGAATCTCGCTCGACGTACCCCGATTGTTGCGTCTCGAAGATCGGCGGTTGATCGCCCAACTCTTGGTAATACCACATCGCGGCGTCGCTTGGCGCGAGATTGTCGGGAAAAAAGCCGGAGCCGGAAGGATTCATGTTGAAAAGAGAGGGGGGAGTTTGAAATTGATGAAGATTGAAGGAGAGTATGTTAGAAACTCAGCGCCACCCAGTTTTAAAAAAATTAATGTTTTACGTGCAAGGCTCGAAAAAGACTACGCCTGCACGTGAGGGGGCGTGTTAGAATATAAATAACTGTTTTTGGGTCACAACCACAAGCTTAAGCTTTTGGTTGAGTTGGTTCCTTGACAAAGTGAAGAAGGTGTGAGAGATTGGGAGGGGGGGTTTAATTTGAATTTATAACAAAAAAAATCTTTTTTTTGCATTCAATGGCTATTAGAGCCGTTAAGGGGGGAGGGAATTGCGTCAAACGAGTGACGCCGAGCACATCACGCTGATGAGGGGCGGTGTTTAACGCCCCGGGGGGGGGGGGGGGGGGGGTCGTTAAAACGCCTCATCACGCCGTGGGGTGTGAGAGGTTTACCCAGTGCCTTATAATTCATTGTGTCAACTTAAACCACCGAAAGTCCACCGAAAGTCCAAAACACCAAAATTTGTCCCAGACACTAATTTTACCCGGCTATTTTCTAAACTATTTTTAATCTCATGCTTCATATGGATTCTCATATATTGTACACTTTTTATTATGTAATATATTGATAAAATTATAACCTAAATTAAAATATAATTTTTTTTCAATTTTCTAATAAATATTAGTATACATTTTCAAAATCATTTTTAATAATAAGGTATGATATTTTTAAAATAAAAGTTGTAGTGTTAGATGGACATTTATTAAATTTTAAATGAAACTTTGTTTTTGAAAAGTAGTAAAAAGCAAAAATGGTGTGTAGTTTTAAATTTTATATAAAGCATTGTGTTTTTTCAAAAAAATATAATAAAACTTACATAATCTTCTTTTAAAAATAATAAAATAATTGTGTAGATTTAAAACTACAATAGGGCAATACATATTGGTATAATACTTAGAAATGAAAAATTTATACAAAATTATTGGTCATCAAATTTAAGAATAATGAAAGCTATTTTAATCAGTGAGACAGTGAACAATTAAAATAATAGCTTCAAAATATTTTAAAATTAGTTTTAAAACTCATACTCCCTTCGTCCCAAATAAAATTAGTATTCATAGGTCAAACTTTATTCACTTTCTTTTTGTATTTTTGTTAGTCATTTGATAAAAAGATTTGAATATAATTTAAATATTTATTTTTTAGTCTGTAGATCTTTTAGTCTATTTTTTAAATATGTAATTTTATTTTTTTTATTTTCACACCATTTTTCGTAAAAAAAGATTTGAATATAATTTCAGTAAAATATCGTAAACTGAAATAGGTGATTAAAATTTGGACGGAGGGAGTATAATTTTTTTCCGAAAAGTAACTAAATAAAATAAATGCTGGATAATTCTAAAAATATATTTATAATGTATTTTAAATTAATAAAGTCTATATTTTTTTTTAAAAAAATAATACTCTCTGCATCCCAATTTAAATCGTCTGTTTCCGTTTATGATGTTTGACTGAAATTTTTTTCAAATTATTTTATATGAAAAACGGTGAAGAATTAAAAAATACTCAGTAAAAATTACATATTTAAAAACTAAATAAAAAGATCTACAAAACTAGTAGTGACATGCATATACTCCCTTCGTCTCTTTAAACATGAGATGTTTTGATTTTGAAGAGATTTAAGAGGAGTGTATTTTAGTATTGAATTTCCAAAAAATGTCCTTTGATGTGATGAGTAAAAGTAGGATTTGATGGGTAGATTATTAGTAAAAAGGTATAATGTGATAGGTAGGGTATAAAAAAGTAATGGATAAAAGTGACTTTTTAATAAAATAAGAAGTGTTTTTTGGGACAGATGAAAAAAGAAAGGAGAAATGTTTTCAGGGAGGGATGAAGTACTATTTTATAAAATGAGTAACGAAAATAAGGAAAAAAGTAAATAAAATTTCACCCTGTGAGTAATAAACAGACAAATTAATTTGGAACGGTAGGAGTAACATAATTATACATCATGTGGTGTGTTTAGTTGACATGGTATATTTAGTGTTTCAGCGGGTATGACTATCACTAACCATTTTTTAATCAAAAGTTAAAAGCACCAAAAATGCGTCTAATGCCGGGGGCATCATCCGGCTTTTAACGTCAGAGTAGCGTTAAACACCGCTCCCGGTGGCGTTAAGCTGGTGTCATGTGTGATGCCTTAAAGGTTTAATGCGCAAATGGAGAGAGAGAAAAGAGCTATTGGCCCAAAGGGCTATAATGCCGTTGGGCATTATTTAATTTTTTTAAAAATTATTTTTAATACTATAAATAATTCTTATTTTTAAGACAACAAACATACACAACATATTCTTATTCTTTCTATAATTCATCCAAAATATATTTTATTTCTTTTAATTATCTCTATAAAATATTCAAAAAATGGGAGAAAAGAAACGAAGAAATCACCAAGAAATTTGAAGCCGAGAGATTTACAATGCACTATTTCATCGAAGATATTTTTAGTCCCTCGAATAACCACTAATTTCTTCGTAATGTAATATAATTTTTAATTTTTTATATATGTTGTTATTATTCAAATCTTATTTTTTTAATGTAATTTTTTATTGAATGTAATTTTTATCTAATGAATTATTGTCGTTTAAATTTAGTTAAATAATAAAATATTATTAATTTAATTTTACAAGATTGGTATTCAAAATATAAAAATAGAGGTTTGAAATCCCAGTTTGAAGCCCCCGTGGCTTCAAACCTTTTTCCAGTAAAATTGTGATGTAAGTTAAAACTGGCGTGACAAAGAGAGAAATTTTGAAGTCCCGGTTTGAACCCCGGGGCTTAAAGAGAATTTCTAGTGCTTTAAAAATACCAAATTTGAAGTTTCTCCCTGATTATACATATTGCGTCTGCTGTGAAGTGTCTAATATATAGTGTTGTGGGATAAAAAATCTACCCGCTAGAAATAAAATATAGAAAAAGTATAAAAATAGGAGATTCATGTTTTTAACCTCCAAATTTAAAATTGCATTATGGTATTTTTGTGATGTGCATTGGTATTCCATAATGCTTTTAGTATTACTGTATATGTTTACATTGTCGGTATTGTTCTTATTTTATGGATAAAAATATGTAACTCAATAACTCATAATTTGGTTTTTGTTCTATGTATTACTCTTAGTTTAGTCTGTGTTAGAATATAAATAACTGTTCCTGGGCTACAACCACAAGCTTGAGCTTTTGGTTGAGTTGGTTCCTTGACATGGTATCGGAGCCTCGTTGACTAAGAGGTCACGAGTTCGAAACTCAGCGCCACCCAGTTTAAAAAAAAATAAGGTTTCATGTGCAAGGCTTGAAAAATACTACGCCTTCACGTGAGGGGGCGTGTTAGAATATAAATAACTGTTCCTGGGCTACAACCACAAGCTTGAGTTTTTGGTTGAGTTGGTTCCTTGACAGTCTGTAACTCTAATTTCGTTTTACAGTGCCAATTTGGTACTGTATATTGGTATGTTATAAAGTAATTTTTTGGTGTTATATGTCGACAATACTTCTCACATTTTAAAGATAAAAATATGTAACTCATATTTTGATTCCTTTTCATATTTTACTCATAGTTTAATCTTTTTTTCCAAAATCAATTTCTTGGTTTTTATTGGGACAATGTTTCTTATATTTTGATAACAAATCTCAACAGACTTATGTTGGATTTCTTGTTGTCCATCCAGGCTTATTTACAATAATGTGTTACTTTCACCCGCACCGGTAGCCCAAGTGGCAAACACTTGGTGAAGTTTGGAGAATGACCAAGGATCGAAACCTGGCAGCGACCGTTGTGGAGGCGACCACCTCTGGCAGTTTCATTTTTCAAATCAAACTAGATAAATTTTATTTTTTAATTATCAATAGCATTAAATTTGTATTTCATATTACTCGGTAATGCGGTGTAACAAATTTTTAATACATTTCTGCAAAATATATAAGTTTAATGAAATAATTTTGTAAAAAAATCTAGTATAATTTTTATCGAATAAATGATTAAAATCTATCTAATTTGACACTAAAAAGTCAAACTTGATGAATATTTTGAAAGAAATTAGTACTCAGCAGCATAAATGATAAAAAATTGATATGAAAAAAGTACTATTTTTTAATACAAATATTACTCTGTATCTTGAATTATGATTAACTTTTGTGCATTGTTGGTCAAATTTTGACATAAAAAAGCAGATATATAGGAAAAATGAGTGTGGGTAATATTCAAGCAAGAAAGATATTTTTCCTTTAAGTGTGCAGTTAAATTTCTCTTTTAACTAGGAAGTTAATTACTCCGTATGCAAGATTTACCGACATGATGACAAAAAACATGATCAGTGTTTTCATTCGTCAACTATGTTGACATCCAATTTAGTCAATTGTTTATAGAAAAGAGTGACACAGAGACACTGGTGTTTTACCCTAGATGACAAAAAGTTAACTTCTTAATTTTTATGATTCTTTCCAACATTCTATAGAATAACTTTTTTTTTAATTTCTTTCAACGATAACTTAAAATTTCTCCGGTAAATGAATAAGCATTGAATGAATGCTTCATTGGGGTAGAAATACGGAGTAATGGAGTATATTACAACTTACAAATTTGCACTAAATAATAAGTATATAGGACTAAAACATAAGTCATTTTCTAATGTAAAATTTAAACTTTTTTATTCTCTAAATACTACTTAATAATATCTAGTGAGATGAATAATATCCAGTGATGATGAACATTTACTTGAATAATGATTAATGGATAATGATCAATAGTACTATACTGAGAAATAAAAACATATGATCCTATATTGAGAACTTATAAGATGAAATGAAGTATCTTTAAATTTATTTATTTGAAATGTGAAAACACAAGTAAATGAAAATTGTCCAATTCTTGAATAATGCTATGCCATGATATAACAAGCCAAACCTTTTTTTCTCATCTCAAATGGTTGTGTTATATTATAGCAAGCTTGTTAAAAAATAAGTTTGGCTGGCTAGATATAACAAGCTTTCTAAAATATAACAAGCTAGGAGTTGTAAAATAAATTATCAACTCATGGTTGGAAAATGAAGTAAAATGTTGCTTGCTATATCACTTTTCACCTGTTAAAACATAAAATAGCAAGCCAATATAGTAAGCATGGTTGGATCGAGATGGTGGTGTGGGGAGGACTTGATCTCCTCCTTCACGCCCATTCACCATGACGGAGTTCCGTGAGGAGGGCATGGCTCCTTCTTTCGTAAGGATCCTCCCATTTCTCTTTTTTTTATTTTAACCAATTAAAATTTAATACTAATCCACGTACACCTCATCACATTTTTTTACATTATATCCCGTCAAGCTTCCATAACACATGGCCTTAGAGTGAGATCCAAAAATTGACTAAAAATAAGAAAAAGGCACACATTTGATGATTTGGGCTCCATCAGAGGCGGACCTATGCCTTAGGAGTAGGGGCAATGGCCCCCAACTAATTTTTGGATGTTAAACTTATTTTTTTTTTTAATTTTTTACACTCATGTATTATTTGACCCCAATTAAAACTAAAGGGACCCCAACTAAAGTGTGTTTCAATATATATAATTAATATTTTATAAAATAAAATTTTAAATTATCTATTCAAAAACTCACATTCAAAAAATACTTGAATAAAATTTTTAACTTTTTTTTATTTTAAATTGTCTAATAAAAAAACTTAGGGACTTCCCCTAAATCCCGACTTTTAGTGCCCCTACTATTTAAAATTTTAGATCCGCCATAGGGCTCTATACCAATGAGATTATTGGGAAAGCCCGGGAATTAGCTTGTAAATCATTTCATAACCCAATATCTTCCCTATAGTTTTATAAATACGGAGGTTGTTCTAAAATAAATTCTAAAAATAGTTCCTAATTGCATGTAGACTCTTTTTATAGAATAATGTTAGAGTCACAAACAACTTGGACACAAACTTGTTATTTATGTATTTAATTTTTTATTTTTAAATTATTTCAAATCATTTTATTCACTTGGAAAAGTGCACAAATAGCAAGTTTGTGTCTAAGTTATTTGTAAGTATAGCATTACTCTTATAACATTCCATAATCGATTCTTCATGGGCTATATCTGAAAAAGTATTTTGTTTTATTTAGCCTAAATGACTATTTATGGAATAGTTTTTTCAAAATTGAAGATCATTTATAAAAGATCTTAGAATTATAGACTAAATATAAAAATCGCATATAATTAGGAATCATTTATATAATTTATTGTTATTTTTAGCATTGCTTCATCTATTTTTTTAACTTATTACAATATAATACTAGAAGGGGGAGACCAAAGAGTGACACAAAGGGGGATGCCCTATGGCGTTTGTGACCCCAGGCGGATTGACATAACATCCACTGATGGGTGTATTTCACCTAGAGTCGGTCAAAGAAGACGCTCAAATACTCGACCGGTCAAAGTCGATTTTCCAGGATGGGAGACCTTAATCATCCTTAGAAGAATACTTGGTTAACCAAAAAATTGACCGGTACACATCGGATAGTGTACCGGTCAAACTACTTTATCGCCTAATCCGCTTCCCGAGTTTCCATCGACTCAACCCTCCGGAATTACCCGGCATGTTTTCTAGGGTTAAAGGGTGTCGGCAGAGAAGAATCCAAAGAAACTTGGATTGTAGTGACTAGTATCGCATGAGGATAAATGGAGATGCTAAAGTAATCCGTCCAAGCCAATACGTGACAAGGGAGCAATCTCCCTCGCAGGATGACAAAGCAGCTAAAGGACGAAGGCCATCACCTCCCACCATCCAAGAACGTGCCTCAACGTGGGTGCACGACACCTTGTCCCCTTTAACTTAGTATAAATATTGTTGTAACCTTCAAAAGAAGGGATCCGAATTCATTCTCGCTAAACTCCCTTATAAAAGCTCCAGTGTATTTTCCTACATTTATAATATCAGTTGGGCTATAGGTGTTTCCACCTACAGTCCTCCCGGTCATTTGTGTCATTAGGTAATTTACACCATCATCCACCAAGTCACATATGTCTTCACGATCAATGATAAGGGCACTGGAAATACCCATAAAGTCCCGGGGCTTCAAATCGAGGCTTCAAACCTTCTATCTCTGCCACGTCAGCTTTAACTTAACTCACAGTTTCAGTGGAAAAATGAGTTTGAAGCCCCGGAGCTTCAAACTATGGCTTCATACCTTCATTATATTTTTTAATTTTAAATACACATCTTCTAAAATTACATTAATAAAATTTAAATATTTAATTATTTAAAAGAATTGAAACTATAATAGTTCATTAAATAATAAAATTACATTCATTAAATAAAAAAATTACATTCATGAAAAAATAAAAAAATACTTGAATAATAATTTTTTTAAAAGATGATAGACAGAGAGAAATTTGTATTTGTGTTGAATTTAAAAAATACTCCGTAATAATTTAATTTATAGAGAAGAAAAGAGGAAAAAAGAGGGAGAAAAAAGAAGGAAGAAGGCCTTTCACGCCTTCAACTCACGTCAAAAATTTGACGCATGAGTTTTAACACCCTTATAACGGGGGAGGGGGCGGTGTTTCACGCCCCCCATGCGTCAAAACTCTCCTAACGCCCCTTGGCGTTACCAGTGTTTCCACTGCTCTAATACTAAAAAATTACTTTTATACATTATGTGTTACTTTATTGTGTACCCTTATATATACTTTGAATAGTCATTGAAATAATCAGTCATTATTCAATACTTGTTGCTAATGACTATATTCGTAGAGTCTTTCGTATAATTGGTCATTACTCAACATTTATTGCTAATGAAAGCATATATGGCAGATCATATAAAAATATGTGTCATAAAGGGAGTAAAACATACTTAGTCCTATTCAAGAAGCGTTCTACCTTTTAGTCCTATATGACACAATTTTTTCTTTTTCGCCTGGTTGGGTTTTCCAACCTTGAGTAGAAGGAATATTTGTTAGACAATAATACTAATATTACTTCTGGTAGTATTGGTTATGATAGTGTTGGATTATTAGTCAGTTTCATATTCCTATTTGTAGCAGATGTTGTATTTTAGTTAGTCTTCATTCTCTATTTCTAGTTGTGTTAGGAGTCTCTTCTATATATATTCTATCATGTGTTTCATAATTCAAGGAACAATATTATTATTCTAATATATCAACAATATTAAAAAATACTACCTCCGTCCCAGAGTATTTGTCCACTTTCATTTTTACACACCATCCAATACACTTCTTTAATCAATTTTATCTTGTAATTTGTATATTAAAAAATTATAGAAATTATATATTAATAATCTATATGTTAAGACAAATCAAACAAGATCACACATGACTATATTTAGGCTTACACATTGAGAGAATTTGATGAGTCAAAGTGCTTAGATGAACAGTTCCAAAAGTCAAAACTGGACGAATACTCCGGGACGGAAGGAGTACTCTCTAAGAAAATTGTATAATTAAAATTTATTAAGAAATTTTTTCGCCTGGTTGGGTTTTTCCAACCTTGAACAAACGATTTCACATTTTCTTAATATATACGAATGCGACTTTCTTTTGTCTCAAATTATATTTGAATATTGTTTAGTGGTAATAATAGGGAGCATCATATTCCCTAGTGCATAAGAAGTTTTTTCATTAATTAATTGTTAATTTTCATAATCCAACTTAACAAGTGGTTTAGAGCTTCCATTGACCACACCAATGCACAAAATCTTTCATAGCAACTAACAATAGTGAGTTCCAATGGCATTCTCATTTTAAGAAGATTGCCTCTTCTCCAAATGCCTGATGTTCTCAACCATTTTCACCACTTCTACCATTTTCGGCCGTTGATTCGGCGTCCTCACCACGCACGACAGCGCGATCCGCAGCATCTCCACCATTTCCTCCTCTATCCCCGGGACCCTCAAGAGCTGCACATCAAACACTTCCGCGGTCCACTCCTCGCGGACCACCGAGTGGACCCACCGAACCAAATGGACGATTTCGTCCCCGACGGTCGCGTGCACGGGGGACTTCCCGGTGAGGAGCTCGAGCAAGAGCACCCCGAAGCTGTAGACGTCCGAAGGGTGCGTTGGCTTGCGAGTGTCGGACATTTCCGGGGCCCAGTACCCGGCAGCACGGGCCACGGGTGGGCCCAACGAGGTCATTATGGACGACAGGCCCACATCGGATATGCACCCGTAGTGCTTCGAGTTGAGGAAGATGTTTGTGGACTTTATGTTCCCATGGGCTAGCAGCAGCTTTGCACCAACCTCGGCATGAACTCGAGCCACGCCCCGCGCTGCCCCTACGGCTATCCGTAACCGCGTGTCCCAATCCAAAGACGGCCTACTTTCTCCCATTTTACCTGCAGAGTTAAAGGGGTTTCCATTAGGACACATGCACAGTCAAAGTGTGAAGTTGATTTTTAGATGTCCAAAAATGGAAAGTGTAAAGATCATTGGAGGAGGTAAAGAGTAGATAGATAATATGGGTTTTAAGGCAAGTGACAAAAGCAAAGATGGCAATGAATAATGTGAATAGAATGCAGACAAACATAAACTTATTTATCTAAACAGAGAAATCCAATCTGTCCCAGCAAATATGCCCTTCAATTATCTTTCTTTATAGTGCTGCACTGCCAGATAGCTATCCAAAACAAAATGTCAAATAACTAAGTAGAATTGGTTAGGCCCTCCTATGACCTATCCTCTTTTTTGGTTTTTTTAAATACTAATTGTTGGACTTTAATGCACTGATTGGTCAGATTTGACATGCTTGTCCTAAGGGATAAAACACACATTGTTTGGTTTGGGTCCTAATCTCTTTCATATCCTAATGAAATGAGCATTTTAGCCCCTAATCTTTTGCTTTATTTTACTAAAGCCCTTTTATTTTTTTGAATCTACCCCTTTGAGTCTTTGCACTTATTTTTACCCTATGACATTGGATCCCATAACAGAAAAGAATGAGTAAATCAAGAACCATACCATGCAGCATCTCAGCAACACTTCCCTGGCTGAAGTAGTCACAAACAATGAGCTTTTCTTCTTTGGAATAGTAATAAGCCCTAACCTCAACCACATTCTCATGTTTAATGCTTCCCACAGCCTCCATCAGTTGCTCGAAATCCTTTTTCCCGACGCCCACGTCCTTCAGCCTCTTCACCACCACCGTGATCGCGTCCTCCAGTATTGCCTTATAGGTCATTCCAAATGTGCCCTTCCCTAGGACCTCTGCAGAAGCTCTCAAAAGGTCCTCCACATCAAACACATAATTGCTGCCCTCAAAGAATACCAACCCGTTGTTCGCATCTTGAGTCCGCGAAACTGCCTTCTCAGGGGACATGTCTACCTTCTCCAACTTCCCCAAGAACGCTTCCTCGTATTGTCGCTTGCGACAACAGACAAGAAACAGAAAACCAAATCCCAGCAGCACAAAAACACTTACAGAAACTGAAATCCCAATGACTGCCCTCTCCCCCAATTTCCCAGCTTTCTTGGTGTTGGGAAATTGATTAATAATCATAAGAAAAAGAAGAAAATAAAGGAAGAGGAAAGGAAAAAGGTGGAGGACATGGTCATATGGATGCATGTCCGTGACTTTGCTTTTGGTTAATTGGAATCAAAGGATGTGTCCTTTTTTGGCTCTTAGTGTTGGCATGACTCATTTGAGTATTATAAAGCCATGAAGAGTGAGTGATATGTATGTGTGTGGTTTACACACCAAGGTAGAGAGAGAAGAGGAAGAGGGTTCTACACAAGAATACCACCGG